AATTACTCCTAAGATCCACAAACATGCTAGAAAAGATATAATCCATTCATCAGAGTCTTCCTTACAAATGTTGTTACATGCAACTCTAACTTCTACCAACTAAATAGGTGCCCTACAGGCTTACATCTTTCCAAGTATAACTTGGTTACAACAAAAGAGGGTCAGAAGCCCATTACAATTTAAAGCCCTCGGCTTGGAAAGAAAAACATATAAACATAAAATAAAACAACAAAACAGAGACTTCAGCCCTAAGACCTCCCAAGCTATGACCTTGAAGGCGGCATGTCACATGTACCTGAAAATGGTATCTTAAGTAGGGTGAGCCAAAACTCAGTAGAGATACGCTAAACAGTATATGAAAAATAACTAAAACATTAGCATTCGATAAATGTTTAACACTTATAAACCATCTTAAACATTTTCCATAATCAATCAACATTGGTACTCATATTTCAATTCACTTCCAGTTATTACCCAAGTCAATTCATCGACATAATTCATTATCATATAAACAAGTCAAAATGAGACTACAACTCATTCATCAACCCTTCAATCATAAACATCATTCATACACTTCCATATCTTTGCCATTTTACGGATCTACGTCCGAGGGAACCGGCAACCAAATAAATAAGATTTTAGGACTTTCACCCAGGATACTGCGGCCAATTTAATTATCAATAGAGTCCATCCCGTATCTCCTCCCAAACAATGGAGTACATCCCCTATCTCCTCCCACACAAAGATACATATACAATGTATTAAACATGTTGGCATATACAATGACTCAACAATTTACATGTTCAATGTTCATATCCAACTGTCATATTCAATGACATCAACCAAGTGATTAGTTTCAATTTACCTAATCATCATGCAATTTTTACAACTATCATGACTATCCTCCATCGATAGCCCAAAACAATTATTTATAAACAGATAAATAAATTTATCAAACGGATAATTTATCAACTTATTAACTCTTCTGTAGGTGAGTGTTTCATCAATCCAATTACACCATTAAATCACAATTCCCAAATCAATTTCACATTTCCATAATTGACTTCATTAATTATACAAATGATTTATTCAATTCCAATTAGGGCATTAATCTCTCTTTCTCAAATGTTGCATCCAAAGTCAAATTTCATCAATTATACACAAATAACCCCATTTTAAGACCTCATATACCCAATGGAGCCCAAAACTAGAAAACCCCTCTTTCATAATTTCAAACTCAAAACCCTAACTTTCACCAAACTTTTCATATCCCACCATTTATACAAATGACCAACATTTATGTTCAAACTCATAATAAAGAGTAGTTTATCCCTACCTTAAATGGAGAAGCTCAAAGAAGAAGAAGGGAAAAACTCAAGATGCTCCAAACTTGAATTCTTTCGGATCAAAATGAAGCCCACGCAATGCTCTATCTTTTTTACAAAAGAAATGGGAGTAGAGACACTCTAGATCAAGTGTATTTGTAGAGAGAAGGGGTATTTTAGAGAGAGAGGCTGCCGTATTAGGGTTTGGAATGAAAAAGAAATCAAAAAGTGTTCTTGAATCCCGCTGCTGTGAACTGATATACACGGGGCTCGCTCGAGCGAAGGAGCGGTCACTCGAGCGACCAGATACAAAAGAATCTCGCTCGAGTGCAAGAAGCGTCGCTCAAGCGAACGATGCAAAGCTTTAGGTCTGCAACGTAGAAGCACGCTCGAGCGCAAGAGTTCTCGTTCCAGCGAAGAAACACATAACATAGGGCTCGCTCGAGCGCACGAATGCTCGTTCGAGCGAAGAATACCAACTTTCAGGTCCTACACAGATGCAGATGCACGCTCGAGCGCAAGAGTGCTCGCTCTAGTGAAAAGACACACAACACAAAGCTCACTTGAGCGCAGGAACCCTCGCTCGAGCGAAGAAGGAAAAACTTGGGTAGCAACCATTTGTTTCAACTCACAATTAACTTGTTTCAAACTTAACCAACACATCTTAAAACTCAAATACAAAGAATAAAGAATGGAAACAAGACATAGACAACAACATACAACCACGAAACCCGAGTCTGGAACACAATGAATGACGGGAAAAAATCGGGATCGCTATAATATGAGCCTCTACGAGAACTCACAGCAGGCCCTAACTTGGAGTCATAACAACATCCCACGTTCGGTTGTTCTCCTCGCATCCTAATTTGAACAAAATTAAGATAATGATAAAGAACAACATATATTCAATTATTATTGTTATTATTATTATCTTTTTCAATAATTCTACGCATTCTAACAATCTTACCAAAAGTACAAATGGTCAAATGTAATTGGTTATGAAAAAAATAATAATATTTAAACCTCCAATGACATTTGGACATGAATGCTTTTAGCTTTTTAGATGAAGAAAAAATTAAGTTTCGCCATCTAAGGTTTTTCCACCAATTTTTTTTGGTGGCGCCAAAATTTTGAGACTTTTGGTGAGAAAAAAATTTGTCCCTAATTATAAAATTATTAGTGAGGAATATATTTTTGTCACTAATAATTTTATATATATATATATTTTGAAAAGCTTGATTTTAAATATTTTAAGATTATTTGGTGAGAAATATATTTTCGTCATTAATAATTTTTAATACTTTGAGACCTTTTAGTGAGGAAATTATTTTGTCACTAATTTTGGAGGAAAAATTTTGACAAATTAGGTGGTTTTTTTTTTTGTTTATCAATTTCGCTCTCATATCTCTCTTCAAGCACAACAAATTACATTTTTAACGATTAAATTTGGTGACTAAAAAATTTCATAGAACACAAATTTATTTTTTGGTGGGAATACTTTCGCATTACCGCTCAATTTATTAATTATTAATTATGATTTATGTTTATTTTTTATTTTTCCATATTTTTCTGTCTTTACATACACCCAAACAAACAAGTTCAGTATCTCTCTCTCTCACAGACTCACCATCGCTGATTCGCCGTTCATAGTCACCGTCGGTCTTCCACTGTCAGTCTTCCATCGTTGCTCACCGTCGCTGTTCCACCATCGCTCACCGTCGATCTTCCACTGTCAATCTTCCATCGTCGAACAGCATTACATCGCCACCGCCGCTCGCATCGCATCGCATCACTTCAACATTGAGGTTTTTCTTTTCCTCTCTTTATTTCTCTTCTTCTCTTTATTTTTGTCCCTCTCTCTCTATGTTTCTCTGTTTCCCCGTTTCCCTCTAGCTCTAGGGTTTATTTTGTTATGTTGTAGGGTTTTCATTTATGTGAAATCAATGAATCAATGATTGAAATGCGTTTCTATAAAACGATTGAAGGAACATGTAATTTCTTGTTTTTCTTTTTTTTGGATTGTGAAAGCCTGAAATTTCATTACCAATGATTGAAATAGGTTTCTCCCTCTCTTCTCCTTCTTCTTCTCCTATTCGTTCTGCTTCCCTCCTTCCTTATCATTCTTTCTGGTTGTACATCAAATTAAATATATCTGTTCATTTGTTTTTATTGATAAACTATGGGGTTGTCGGAAAATTTTACATCTCAACCACAATGTACCCCATTGAGGCTAAAAAGATAAAATACATTATATCTAAAATGTAGTTCTTCCTAGAGAGTTTTTGGTGCAATAATGCAGAAAATATTTCAATGTGATTTGAGATGCTCTTTCATTTGGATTAGCTAGAAGTTGTTTACTCAAATGATAGTTGGGTAACTTAATTATTTCCTTTCTAGGATTTGGTTTTCTATAGTTCTATAATATCGGCATTGGGTAACTTGAATGTGTGTGTCTGTGTGTATATTTATGTAACTAGAAGGAAAGGAAAAAAAAAAAAAGAGTTGTTCCATGTGTACAATCATTCAATCTATTGTTAATATGAATTTGTCCCTATTCCATCATATATCCCTAGATGAATAATTCAGGACTAAGATACTAAATGTTGAGATTAAAAGTAAATTTTGTACTGCCCTTGAAATATCTGTAGACGTTAGGAAACCATCTAACAAGCCTTTCTTCAGAGAATCGAATTTGCAGAATTGAAAACCACCAAATCTAACTAAATTTATGAATTTTGAAGATTCAAAGAATCAAAAACAAGACTTGGGGATGAAATAGCAAAACTCTCATGATTAAATTTTCAGGTTGGTCATTATTAGTTCAAACACCACTCAATCAAGAAACACATCATTTATAGAAACATACAAAAAAAAAAGAGAGCATATTTTTAAAAAATAGTTCCTACATAATTTAGAAGTAAAGCTTGTTGAGTTGACTTGAATTGAGTAATCCATACATCAGAATTTGAACTTGCAATGAATACCATAGTATAAAACTACATGCCCAAACGATAGAGGTTCAAAAAGACATTCCACCAAATGATATTTCAAGAAAAGAGAAAAGACAAGTCAAAATTAGCTGCCAGTAAAGCCTTCTTTCCACCACAAAACTACAACTATCAACTTGATCTTGGAATATTTAATAGTTTTGATTCATATATTTTCCTTAATAAAAACAACAAAGGAAATTGGTAAATCCGTATTATTTTTTGATGAATTTACAGCACTTACTCCCACGATGGGTGAGGCCCACTCATGTCAAATAATAAAGTTTATCACTCAATAGTAGAGTCTAATTTTATTTTATTTTATTTTATTTTTATTTTTATAAGTATTAGAAGCCCATTCTAATCCCAATTTAACCAAATATAATACAATTCACATGTTTCTAGTGAATCGCATAATCATATCATACCACTAGCTCATCCCATTCTTAAATGCTAGGCTAGCATACTAGCAACAGTGGCAATAAAAGGGAGGGAAGTGCAAAGATGAAAACAGAAACATTGTTTTAACAGTCAGGATATTAAGAGACTTAGCTCCTCTTAAGAACAACCACAAACATCAGCTTACCAATATGACAATGCTACTGCTACATAGTAGTAAAAAATACTTGATTCCAGTATATACCATGAACACATCTATATAACCAGCTAATGATATTGATCTAAAACAGCTAGTCACATTTAAGACAAATTCATATACAGTTGGCTATGTGGTTGAAATCTATAGCCGTGTTCTCTATTATGGAATTGCATAAATAAGGTCTTGATAACGGATTTCTCATGGTTCTATCTTATTATACATTAGAAGACTATGAAACTTGGTGTGGTAGACACAATAACAGAACGTCCCCCTGCGTCTGACACATGGATACTTTATCTACCGAAAAGGAAATGTGTATAAATACAATGATGATTACATCCTCATTTAACAACTGTATGAAGGTGCTAATCCCACAGCCCTCACTTACATGTGTTCTTCAAAAAGGCTGTTTAAAGCAGCTTCTAAATTTATACAACAAATATTATTTTCAGATTTGCTAGTAATAGTATGTATGGGGCTCATCTCCATGCAAACATAATCGCTACACCTTTTAGCTATGCCGATTCAGACATATCCATTTATCACCACATCCATGTAGAATTAGGGTATCACCACTTCTGGCATATGTTCACCAATTGTAAGTTCCACTGGTATGTGACTTCGCAATGACCTATTCAAATCAAACTATGAAAATAGCATGTCGCTTGCTAGGTAGTAGGGATTACCTTTGCCAGAAGGTATGTGGTTTCCTTATCAAACAAAAATGTTTCATTGGGTAATATGATGTCTTCTTCAGTACTCCTAAAACTTTACATGAAATCAAAGTAAACTTTATGTATCGTAGAAGAGTTATTTACTTTTAAATGTTTACAAATTTCTAGTGCTAGCTTCCTCTAGAAGACTGCATGTTCTCTAAACTCATACCTTGCTCTCTCTGGCATGGCATTTGGTTCTGGTTGTATATGCACCCAAAGGTTTGAATTATTTAATCATTTCATGTACATTTAGTTTTAGTTTTTTTCAAGGGTCACCGACAACAGTCTCTTTTGGCAGGATTTTCTATGACAGAACAACACAGGGAAGTTGTTATGGCAAGTATTTGGTGTTCAAGCAGCAACTTTCTGCCTCTATGGCATTCGTGAGCTTGAACAAATAATGTGGAATGCATTTAAGCTTGCAGGTTTTGACTGATCTATTAAACATGCCTTAAACTACATAAATCAACCCACAAAAAAATAGTCCATTATGATAGCCCACTTCATGGCCCAAAATACAAATTATAGAACTGCCCGATTTAAAAATTTAAGAAAAACATAAAACAGTATTAAAAAATTAAGAATTATTTTCCTAGGCAATTTCTGAGTTAGAATCTTACCAAATAACTATATTAGATCCTGTGTCTGGTTTCCTGGTCATTTATAATACTTCCTATACTTACCTTGCTTAATATTTGCATTAGTAATGCATACTACAGTTGTAGTATTGTGGAATTCACTTTTGCTAATTTAACTGCAATCATCAGGTGTCATTTATTACATGAATGTGTGTCAAATATATTTGTCGGCCATGATTCTTGGACTAAGTTGATGTTTTCTTAGTATCCATTCCTTCAAAATGACAGAATTCTGATTGCATTCTACATTGATTTCAGTGAAAGAGAAGGTTTGGTGCCTTTATCCCAACAAGAATACTCCAACAAAGTCGGTTCATGACCTTTAGTCAAGATTCTTCACCAGGTCAATAATGCAAACTGAACATGTTTTTCTTTTTCTTTTTTAATTTAAAAAATCATGAATCATGCTGATTGTCTTTTCATACATTTGCAAATATATTTTATGGGAAAAAGTCCCTCATATACTATGTACATGAGCACCTTATCTCTTGTGATCTTTTGCGACAAAATTTTGAAAATGTTGCTAGGTTGTAGCTTTATTAAAGAAAAATAGGCCCAAAAAAATTCTTTCAATCTTGGCCTATCAAATGGATTATGTGAAAATGAAGGTCTTTGATTTTCATTTTAATTCCAAGAAAGCCCTATTATGACCATTGGGAGTTGCCTATGTGAATTCTACTTTGCAGTTCGCTCTATCTTTGACATTTTTTGAATCAAGCCTCGGCCATCATGCCAGACTTTATCCTTGGTCCATTGTGAGAACTGACAAGATAATTGACAGAAAATTTCAATTCATTTTGTAGGATCTTTTCTTTCCTTTTTTTTTCCCGTTCTTTCTTTTTGCTGTGTGTCATTAATGTAGCTTTGCTCTACTTAATGTGCAATTTCTTGCTTCTTATTTCAGTTCAACAAGGTGGTAATTTTCATGTTGATTCTACACAGACAAATGGAGATAAAACTCTGCACTTTGTTTTACTTGATGGTACATGGAACAACTCTGCTGCCATGTTTAGACGTTTGAAGGTCATACTGGAAACACTTAGGCCATGTTTGGTTTGAATTTATAGAGTGATTTTGGGAAAAAATTTCTAAAAAATTTGTTTGGTTTGTAAATTTTTCAAAACAATTTCCAAAATCACTTTCTCTCTTACCTATCAATCAATCACTTTTTCTCTCTCCTCTCTCCTTCTCAATTACTTTTTCTCTCACACACATCTATTTAATTATTCCAAACTTTCAAATCATTCCAAACTTCTAAACTCCAAAACTACTTTTAAAATACACAACCAAACAAACAAAAAAAATTTCTAAACTCTCTCTCCCAAAACAATTTTTAATAACTACTCTCCCAAAACCAAACCGAACATACCCTTAGTTTTTCCTACTTTTCCTAATAATGGTGTATTTATGTGTTTGGCAAAACTATATGCTTCTGTTTTCTCTGTGATCTTGACATTTGTCATGCCATGTATTCCTGGACCAGTGATCTATTTTCCTGAGACATTCCCTTGAACCTCTAATGTATAACTGTGACAGTATACCCTTTCCTGAAATTTGTTAATATTTTGGTTATAAAAATCTAATAAACTCAATCAAGTCATTAAACACACAAAACCTTGAGTTCAGGAACTATATCTCTCGTGATTTTCTACAAATCTTAATTTTTTTTCTTTTCCTTTATTTTCTTCATCTTTTTTGTTTTGTTTTTTCAACATACATTTAACATCATTTTAACTTGAAGTTTGGTTCACATCTTACTGGCATAGTCTTGCAATTTACTTTGCACATAGTTGAGTTGTTATGTTGTTTGGAGGCAACCTGACATTTAGCACTGGCCTGTCACAGAGATAGGTCCAGGAAGGAATTTTTTTTTTCTATTGATTTTTTAGTCTCTTCTGGCCTATCTTCAAGTAAGGCATCCTTCTGTTTCCCACTGCAGACCCAGATTTATTATTATGAATGAAAAAGAGGAATAAATTATAGAGTGAAGTGTTCCTCATAATTCACAACTCAAAATCATGAATAAATTCATTTGATCAACATAATAATGACAACTCAGGGTTGAGTTTAATAGTCAGACAGAAAGGTGGCTTTCAGTAAATAACCCCTTTTTAAAAGCCATATCCTTATCATAACAAGTGTTTAGCTATAGTGGTTTAATTATTGCTTCATTTTATAATAAATTATGTTATGATATTTTTTCTTCATAATAGATTCATTTGATCAACATAAGAATGAAAATAAGGGAAAACAAGACAGCTAATTGGCTCTGCAGGATTTGTGAAACTCTAGCTGATTAAGACATTCATTCTAATCTCTAAAATTGTTTAGTGATCATGGAAAGGATTGTTGGTTTTTGAGGTTTTGCCAAGCACTGATACAGTTGCTTTTACTAATTTTGACAAGGCCATGTTTCGCTCTTTTTATTTATTTATTTTTGGAATTTCGAGGTGGTATGTGGAAAATATTTTGATGTGAATTGTTTTATTGTTAGGATTGAGCAAATGAAATCTGGGGAGAGGACCTTCCTTCCATATCTCTTGCCACTAGTGCATCTGCAATGCACAAACTGCGGTGACATATAATTAACCCAAACTGTTTGGAGGTGTAATCGTGTTTTATTTCAATATCTATTCATGCGTGTTTGTTTTGTTTTTATGTTTGCTTGCATGGGTGTGTTTTGACTTTTTTACCTCTTTGAGATTAAAAATAAAATAGGAAAATATTTAGATTTAAATGAAAATGGTAACTCCGATAAAAATCATGGGCTGACTAGTTTGTGTCAAACATGTCTTGTGATTCTTTCTGCTTCTTGTTGGCATTAGTGCTAGTGATACATTGTATTGCTGCAATCTTTTGGCATCTTCTATTATTTGTGTTTCTTATCATCAAGGATTCCTGAACTCTTTGGAGTTTTGGATTGTTATATGCATTTTTACTAAATTCGTTTATAAAATAAAATTATTTATATATGAGTTTAGATGTAATTGATAATATATTAATGTTTTTCTTATTTATTTTCTTTGCAGATTGGTTTTTGATGACGTTTGGAAGCATACTTGCAAATCAAGATTAAGTTTGAATTTTTTTTCTTCTGAACTGATACTTAGTTCTATATGCAAATCAAGATCGAGTGTTTATTTTTTTATAGATTCCACGTTAGTTCATTTTGGGATTTGCTATGGTGTTTTTTTTTTCTTTTGTTATACTTAATGGATTATTATTAAATTTGTTTGATGGATATATTTTGATTTATAATATAAATTGTTTAGTGAATTTTTTGTATGGAGTGGTGTATAATAACTAGTATATTTCTTAGTACATTAAAAGGCTATTGTGATATGAGCAGGGATATTTATGAAATAATAATTTAAATTGAAGTATAAAATATAGAACAAGTTTAGTGACGATTTTTTTCGTCATCCATACTTGTTAGTGTGACAAAGTGATTATTCGTCACTAACAAATATTTTTTGTGACAAAATTTATCGCAGTTTATATATGAAAGTTTTCATTTATTTTGTTGTTTGGTGACTAAAAATTTCGTCATGTATATATATTTTTGTTACGAAATATATTTCGTCACCAATATTTGACTTTTGGAGACGAAAAATTTCATCAACTTTACATCTTACTGTGACGAAATTATTTCCTCATCAATGATCAACATGTGTGACAAATTTGTTCGTCAACTAAAGTTATATATACAGTACTGAATAATTATTTGGTGACGAAAATCACGATTTTTGGTGATAAAATGTTGTTTTATTGGTGACAAAAATTTTCGTCACTAAAGTTATTTTATTGGTGACGAAATTATTTTTCCTCATGGTGATTTTTAGTGATAAACATTCAATGACGAAACTGGTGACGAAAATATTTCATCACTAATATCTATAGTGACGAAATTAGCTCTTTGAAGACAAAAAAAATTCATCATTCAAGACTTAACTTGTTGTAGTGAGCCCCCCAAGACATGGGATCTCCGTGGTGGTATTTATAAAATAATTACTCAAAAACACACTTAATAAATGGTTATGTCCATGGGTTTCCTTTTTTAAGAAAATATGATTCATTCAACAAATAATATACTTTAAAAACTAATATAATTTACAAAACATAATTTACATAAACGATTTAAGGTAGCTCAAAATATAATAAAACTCACCTCAATATTAATTCCTAATTTTCCCTTCCGTCTGCTCTACTAAGCTTCTTCCCTCCCTACACTTCCTTACTCCACTCTTGCAATTTTCTTTTGTTGCCTTCCATTCCTTCATAATATATCCCCTATTTATAGGAGATCAATTTGCTCAAAACCATGGTTGCCTGCCTAAGCACAGTGCATACCACGTGGCATTGCATTGTATACCACACAATACATACCACATGATACCACGTGTTAGCAATTCATTCAGTGAATTGCAAACCTTCCTCCTAATTACACTGTCTCAGAATATATATAATTACATTATCATCCCATAGTGATCCCTAATTTAAAATTAAATTACACTTTAATACATACAACCATAAAATGAAATATGATTTTTCGAGTAGTAATTTAACCATTTATTATTATATGATAACTAATTTAACTTAATAAATTATTTTATAATTTTCCATTAAAGGTATTATTCGGGTTGTTACAAATGGCATTCATTTCATTGGCCATTTGTTGTTCCCAGTTCCCATTGAATGTGTTAATTATGATATTCTTATTTCATTGCCAAAAAGTCTGTCCAATAGGCAGGAAGCTGTTGCTGTGGTGGTGGCATTGCAACTTGGATATGATCTTCAGGATCATCCATGGAAACATCACGAGCAACCATGCTTATAAGCAAAACATGTTGTCCTCCAACTCGGTTGATTGTGTACTCACTATTGTCGGAGCCAATATGAGATTTGGGCTCATTGGCAAATCTAACTTTGAAATGTTTGAGAATTTTGGTCAGCAACGCTCCAAGGGCTAAAATTTGTCTTACATAGGTGCGTCAAGAGCCATTTCTCTCATAATAATATGTTGGAAATGGTTAATTTTTCCTCAAGTTTGGTCTATTTTTTAGGTGGGCCCCGAGTGTCGATTTACTCGGGTCAAAGTGGTAACGCGTTCTATGCCGCGTTGTGATTCACGTGGTATATTTGGTTGCTCAAAACCATTACCGAGTGAATGGGAAATTGAAGCCAAAGTGTGCTCCATGGAAATGGAGTTTTGGTGGAAATTCCTTAAGGTTGTAAATTGGCTTGTCCCACATTGATTTGGTGGGAAGTTTTGAAAGGGTTTATAAGGCTTAGGGTGAGATACTTGGGGTGTGCCCCAAGGGGTACCCAAGTGTTTTAGAGGGAGAGGTTATGGACAAAATGGGCTAGACCCATTGGACCAAAAAATCACCACGCGCGCCGTCCGGTCGGGCGGGCTGGGCGCGGGTGTGTGGTTCTAATCTTTTTGGACCAAAAACATTTGAATTTAATTTTATTTTTTATTAAAATAAAATCCAGAATTCAAATTAAACTGATTTGGATTTTCTGTACATCCAAACAAGGCCCTTCCCGTTTCTATCTGTTTGAATAAACAGATTCAAATCTGTTTAAATTTGAATCTAACAGGTTTCATACCTGTTCAATTCAAAACAAAGAGTCACCTTCACATCTATAAATAGGACCACCCTCATTTAATGTTTTCAGAAGGGTGGGGGTCAGAAAGCTGCTTCTTCTTCAGCTAGACCGCAGAGTCAGAGTTTGGGCAGGGGGCAGCTCTTGATTTGTTATCAGTGTGGACAACCTGGGCACATGAAGCGGTTTTGCCCACAGTTGAGTACCACTTCGGGAGCGTCTGGTTTGATATACATATCTGTTGTAGAGTGTGGATACAGCTTGTATGCTTATTTGTGGATATTGTTGATATACATATCTGTTGAGAATGTGGATATAGCTTTTATGCTTATCTGAATGTGAGATATAGTTTTTATACATATCTGTGGAAATGATGATAGAGCTAGTATGCTTATCTGTTGTTAAAGGGAAAATGAAAAGTAATTTGGACTTGTAAGTCGTTGACATAAATATGTTATTTATGTGATTGTATCAGTGTTGACCAACTATCAATTGCTAATGTTTTAGTCATTGTCCATGGTTGGTTTAGTGTATTTCTACTGGGCTGTGGCTCACCCTATATGGGAATATCATTTTCAGGTACAGGAAGCATGCCACCTCCAAGGACATAGCTTGGGAGGCTAGAGGCGGACATACTTTTGTCGGTTTACTTTTGCTGTATTACATGTAATTTCAAGCCAAAGGCTTAATGTGTATGAGTTAGTACTCCTTTTTGTGTAACCAAGTGTTACCTTGGAAAGCTGTAAGCCCGTAGGGCATTTTGCTTATGTTGTGAACATGTAATACTTGTAATAAGACTCTGAAGTTATGGAAGAATATGGTTATTTCATATGTTAATGAATCTCTTAATTGATGGGTTTAATGTTATGAATTTGAGGGCGTTACAGCTTTGATACCAATTACAAAACTAAAAAGGAAAGGAGTTTTTTTACTTATGGAATTATGGTGGAGTTATAAAATTATGATAAAGAACTTAGAGACAAAGAAGAAAGCAAAAAGATGGAGAGAAGTTGAAGGGAATTTACATGCTTCATTATGTTGGCATCAAGGCCAATATATAGTCTTACAAGAAGAGAATACAAACAAAATATTACTTATTGCATATCTAACTTATATCTAACATATCTAACTTTGTAAGACTTTTTGTCTTAAAAGTTGCAATTTTTCTAACTAGTTAGGCAAGCCTAGTCGTAGGCTTTTTGAAAAATCTATCTAAAAGTAAATACAAAGAGACAAAAATAAATACAAAAGGACTACAATTATTTGCTCTTTGCTACAGTGTTTACAATTATATACACTGATACACACTGTCTACCCTCCTCGGTTTTCAAAGAGATAGACTATTGTAGATAAGCTTTGGCTGAGCTGATTTGTCGTGTAGCGTCGACTGAAATGATGTGGCTGATCACTTTCGGCCAAATAATGCAGGTTGCTCCACGTGTCCTGGATAAGGTTGGAGTCAATCAGGAGACAGCCGCATGTGATGGTGGTGGGGGCAGTAATTTGATGTCGTTCTAAATCTAGTAGGGTGCATTAGTAATAAAAAACTATATTTGAAATATAAAAAATAGAATGCATAAATTTTATCAAACAGTATCGCTACATCCATCAAATATATTTAGTTTGAATTCATCCGAATGAATTTTTTTTTTGAGAATTTATTCGGACAAATTCAATAGATGAAATATTAATCTTTATCAAAATAAAAAAATTTAGAATGAAACTTTTTATTTATTATGAAAGATCCATTTCATCATATTAAATTCAGTATTGTTGAAAACTTTTTATAAATTTTTTGCATTCGTATCATTAATTAATAGTAGGATAAAGCTTGGGAGCTCGAATTCCCTCCCCCCGAATCCCTCGAAAATGGAAACAGAGGAAAACAGAGGGAAAAGAGGGGGAAAAAAGGGGGA